CATGACATGCCTTATAAACTGATATTTCCACTCTGTTTTCTTGTCAGTTCTGTTACCCTGATGTCTGTCTTCTCTCTCTTTCCCTTAACTCCAGCTGGAATGGTGGGAAAATTTGCACATAAATCAGTACTTCTGTTTTTCCATAACCGTAGTAGGCATCAGTGGCTAAAGACAAGCGATCAAAGAAGGAAAGTGTGAGGGTGGTCCTAGCTTCATGGTCCCTTTGTAAGTACAGCACGGTCATTTTCAGCATGAGTCTGCTCCAGAAATTTCTGTTTTACTTTTTAGGACTCAGGGGTCTCAGCACCTTCCTTTGCTTCTATGCCTTTGTTTCTTCCCTGTTTCCTTTTAGAGAGGTCCCATCTTGAAGGAGCCTCCTTTAACTTTTTTCTTTATTCTGCTGAATTTGAATTGGTTTTAAAAGACAACAGTATTGATAGCTTCACATAAAATAGATAAGGAGTCACAATATGTATGCTTATAATGTAGTCCATGGATTTAAGGAACTAAACAGCAGTTCATTTTGAGATAGAATTTTTGAGAGGTGGTATATCACAAAAGTTTTCTTTTACTAATCTCTTTTTAAAGAAATAATTGTTGTATGGATAGACTTCCTTCTCGTCTTTGGCTGGATATGACAAGTACCTTTTATGTTATTTTCTACTTTGTCTTTAGTGTGCTGTATCTTTCAATTAAAAGAAAAGAAGATTTTTGTGAGCTCTGCTACACTTTAATGAATCATTGGATTGGAAAATAACTCATATCATCAAGCAGAGATATGTTCTTTTATTTGCATGTAGATAGTGAAGATGAATAATTTATCAAATGTTATTAGTGGAAGCTGCATATTTCTGGAATCTCAGCAGGATATAATGAAATTTGTCTCATGCTAGTATGAAAACAACATGTCATTATTGAACTGGCATCTCTCAGAGAACTATTATGTTATGTCAATCTCACTTACCTTTTTAGTAACTGGACTTTTGATTAAAGAGTTCATCTTATCTTAAAAATTTATGGAATTTGGTTTGTCAAACAGTTGCTTGACTCTGAGTATGTTTCTATGTTAGAGCAAAAAGTTTCAGAATGAAGTACTTGATGTTTCTTATTAAAGTGATCAGTGCCAAAAGGCTATGACTAATGGTTTTGACTAATGGTTTTATTACTTCTGGCCTTGAAAATCTGTCTATTGGGGATAGGTTTGAGCAGTATGTCTTTCTGAAATGGGGAGGGGGTGAAACATATATATAATTGGTTAGGATCTTTTATCTGTACTAATTGTGCATTTCAATTCATTTTATTTATTTTATTTTATTTTATTTTATTTTATTTTATTTTTGGTTTTTTTGGTTTTTCTCCAGTACCGGGAACCGAACTCATGACCTTGCGCTTGCCAGGCAGGCGCTTTTGCCGCTGAGCTAAATCCCCAGCCCCTTGAATTCATTTTAAATGATTGTTTTAAATATTGTAGTTGATTATTGCCTTTGCCTTTATTGCATTAGGAAGTCAACCAATCATCTCCTCCAAAAGTGCTGATAAAGCTGGACAAATTATCAAAAGTAAATTATGCCTTATGTTGGAAATGGACTAAAAGCATTCAACTAATTGGGAAGTATTTATTCATGTAGATAACTGTACTCTGGTTAAGAACAGTGAGAATCTGGGGTGTTTGTGGTGGGGCTGCTCACATTGCTCTTGTCAACTCTGAGAGCAGAATTGTTCAGCCAGGATGAGGCAGGCTGTGAAAACAAGTAGCTTCTTCGTTGCTACTGAGATAGCTCAGTTGATACAGGGAACCGTCAGTTAGTGTGAAGATTTTGATGTAAGATGACAGAGAAGACATTTCTGTTGTAGCTCTTGGCCTGTTTGGTACAAGCAGTGAGTAGGTGCACTAGCCAGGGATTTATTTCCCCATGAATTCAGGAAGGTAAAGCACTGACAGGAACCTCAAAAAATCTCCCCATATACCTTGAGTTGACTGGAAGTTGTGTCCATGCCTAGTAGGAAGGGGAGCAGGCCCAGACCTGCACTTACCCCCTGCACCTGCATGCACATCCAGAGCAGATCCTGGAGGGTCCAGGTGAGGTCAGGAGGGAGAGGGAAAGGTTGGGCTGACTTGAAAATGGTCCTAACTTTGACTGCTTTCCCTGGCCCATACAGAGATCTATCAGCAAAGCATAGGAATCTCACTGACTCAATGAGTTTGAGCAAACATGTAATTAGTTTTTGGCTTAACAAAAATTGTGTCCATACAGAGTCATCTCCTAGGAATCCGTGCCTGGGAAAGTATTAAGCAGGGAAATCAGCAACCATTCATTGTGGAGATGAAAGGCCTCATAGATTTAGTGTGCATACGTTATTACACAAAAATTATAATCACTTTTGAGGGAAATTTGTATCATGAGTACTGTGTTATCTAAAATGCCTAGTGTTCAGGAATCTATTATGATATATGCAAAGAAACAAAGTGTAAGCATGTTTATGAGAAAAAAAAGTCAATACTGATTGTCCTTCAGTGACCAAAAATATTTGATTTAGAAGACAGGTACTTCAAAGAACTAAGTGGAGGGTTGGACAGCAGTTTGGATATATCAGTAGCCTATTACTGGTAGCTATTGTGGGACTTCTTAGTCTCCAAATCAAGTGAGGCAGTTTCCCTGTTTTTCATATCTGTGTGAATCCTATCAATTCTGGCTCTTTGGAAAGCCTTGCCTAAAATCACCCCAGGGACTAGTGGGGTAACATCTAGCACACTAGCAAATGTGTCATGGGAGTTGTAGATGAGGAGAGAAAAGCGCGCACACATATACATAAACAAAATTTTAAAATACTGGTTGAAAACATCACAGATTTGATGGGGAGCTTCATGCATCCAAAAAGACAAATTATCCATGTAGGCTATTCACAAAGATCCACACTAGACACATTCTAATCAAACAGTTGGAAGGCAAAGTGAAGATCTTGGAAGCTCCTGAGAGGAAATGACTTACTATGTCTAGAGAAACACAGCAGTGTTACTAGTTGTTTCTTATCAGGAGCAATACGAGGTCACAGGCATAGGGCATAGTGAATGATCAAAGGAAAAAACTGGCAACTAATAATTCTACATCCATAAATGAAGCAAAATAAAAGCAACAAAATAAAAGCAATGAAAGAATTTATTGCTGAATGACTTGCTTTGTAGGAATTACTAAAAAAAAGTTCTGCAGGCAGAAAAAAAGTGGTACCAAATGATAACCAGAATTTCAAGAAACAGTGGAAATTGCTATAAATGATATTCATATGGATGGATATAAAGTACTCTATTATTTTTTACTCTATTATTATTTTACATTTACAGTGATTGTTAGAGAACTGTATTTCTGTGTTAGTATGTGTGACAACAGAAGCACAAAAGAGGAAAAAGGAAAAGAAATGGGATTGAAACAATGTCTCTTATTAAAAAATGAAACGAGACCCTTAGCAAAAGCAAGAAGTAGATCCTAGACTTAATATAAGAGCTGAAACAGTAAGACACCTAGAAGAAAATGGGAAAAATCTTTGGCAAAGAGATCCTAGATGTGACACCAAAAGCCATAAAATATAAAGTTGGTAAATTTAACTTTATTAAATTGAAAAGCATTTACTTTTCAAAAAGCACCATCATGAAAGTGAAAATATGTAGCATAAATGGAGAGAAAATATTTACAAATCACATATCTGGTAAAGGTGGAATGTAAAATGGTACCATCACTTTGCAAAACATCTGTTTCTTAGACTATTAGATATAGACTAACCATATAACTAATATAACTTTTTTGCATCCAAAAAGAAAAAAAAATGAAAATGTATGTCCATACACAGACTTCTGTGCAGATGTTCATAGAAGCATTATTATAGTACATAGTAATTGGCAGCAATCCAAATATCTATCATCTGGTCAGTGGATTAAGAAAATGTGCTGTGTTTGCTATGGGAGCAGAGATGGACTAAAACTTGAGGGGATTTTGAGGAGTGCTGGAAATGCTTTAAAATTGGGTTACTGTGATAACTGCCAAGTAGTATGAATTCATTTAGAATCATTGAGAGTTCTTTGTACTGCCTTTCATTTTTCCTACAAGTCTGAAATTACTTCAAAATTTCTGTTATTGTTGTATGGAGGAGCACTGGGGATTGAACCCGGGGCCTCAGGCATGCTGAGCAGGCACTCTACCACTGAGCTACACCCCAAACCCGTGCTTCAAGTTTAAAAAAAAAAAAAATTACCAATTTTAATGGCTCTTAGAAGTGGCTGGATTTCTTTCTATGTCATTTTGTATAAATAAACAGATCTTTAATTTTTTTTTTTAAATGTAAAACCCTATGCCTGTAAACCTATTACTCTTGGAGGTCTGAGGCAGAAGGTTCACAAGTTTGAGGCTAATCCAGCCAGTGCAGCAATTTAGCAAGATTCTGTTTCAAAGTAAAAAAAAGCTAAGAAAGGGCGAGGAGATGTGTCACTGCGTGAGAAGGCCCTGGGTTCAATCCCTAGGTCCCTAGTCTCTCTGTCCCCCGCCTAACCCTAAGGTGCAATTTTATCTTAACTCTGATTACTTCTTTGATTTTGCTATTTGCTTTGAGCAGATCTTTGCTTTTTTTGTTTGTTTGTTTAAATTTTGTCTGCATTTAGTGGCAGGCAAACCTGGTGCTCAAGTCACACTGTTGAACGCATGTACCTGGTCAGTGCTAGGGAGCATTCCTACTTTGTGGAATGGTATTGTTAGGACACTTCTCTTTCTCAAATACGCCGTAGAAATGTGCAAACATTGTGAGCAAAGCATTTTTAATTGCAGGCTTTGAACATGGCTGTATTTGTATTTCACAGTATTTCTTAGATTCAAATGATCACCTTTCTTCCAGGTTGTTTTTTCCCTCCATTAAAAGAAAAGTTAAATGCAAGCGTTAATACATTTGTTGAAAGCAGTGAATTAAAGCAGAATTGTGTGCCTTGTGCTAATGTATATTTATGTGTTTTACTGAAGGTCACTCTGTGCGACTGCTGGGTCAGAAGAAGGATAATGGAAAGCGGTTGGGGGGAGCTCGATTGGATTTGCCCAAGATTAGGAAGAATCCACTGATAGAAATCATTTCCATCAATACTGGGTAAGCTTCTGTCACACTTGCTCATAAAATACTCAGTATCTTCCATGAGTTCAGTTTTTTCTTGGACATGTGATGGCTAAAAGTAGTTTAATTTTTTTTCGGGAAAGAAAAAAATCACAAAAAAGCACTAAAGCTGTTTCAGTATACCTTTTTCTAAACTATTTCCTATCACAAATTATACTTATATTTGCTGCAGGATTTAATAACTTTGGTTGGCATTCTCATTTTTGATAATAAAGATGGATTTCGTTTACCTACTGAGCCTTGGTTCAAATCTTTTTTAAACAAGAGCAATCTGTGGGATGGTTAATGATTTATCATCTTTGGCTAGTTTTTCAATGAGTTTATTGTAAATGTTGCCCATAATACCGACCATGCTTTATTAACTATCTGAAATGCATATTTTTAAAATTTATTTTTCATTTTAGTTTATTAGTACATGTGTGTAGTATATGTATTTACATTCCTTGTAGGAAGTTGGTTCATGTACATAGCACATCTTAATTCCTTTCTGAAAGGCATATTTTAAAACGTTACTGTTGTAAGCTTTGAGCTGAAGAAAAGCCTCGTGACTATTACATGCTCTTAATTTTCATACTTTGGTCCAAATCCTTGCTGACTCTAACTTTCTTTACTCATTCATGCTTTTTTTTTTCCTCTGCATTTATTCAAATTGGTTCCTTTAAATTATGACTGCAGGTGAAAAAGTTACTTTTTCTGAAAACTTGACAAGATCAAGGGCCTCCGTTCTTTAAAGCACAGAAGTAACTGTGCGCTCATAGAGGTACCTTCCACTTCCCACTCATTAAGCTATCTGTTCTCTCTTTACTTCATTTTTCCTGCCTGCTCCTTGGGAGTTGTTCTCTGCCCTTTTCTTTCTTCAGCTGTTTCTCCTGGAGAACAGGTGAGCTCAGCTTTCCTTGTGCCACACCTGGCCCTTCCTCTGGCCAAGCCTGCCTTGTCCCAGCAGTTGTGTAGCTCCTTGGCACAGTCATCTGTTCTCTGGTTCATCCTTTGTGAGGCTGCCAAGACACAAGAAAGTTGAAGTCAACCCTTTTTGCTAGAAACCCCGTGGAGCAGTAATCAGTTGACGCGGCAGATTTGTTCAGGACCAACTCGGAGTTAAAGCTTTGGAAAGCTGAATTCATGAGAAACTAGAGACTCATCCGTTCACGGTGACACTGCTCCGGATGTACTTGTATTATGACAGGTACCTGACATCGTCCCTCTGTACCTGAGACAATGAATGATAAGCACAGCTGTTTGCTCTTCCTTTTGTTATTCTTATCCTTTCCCTTACCCAAGGCAGAGCTGTACTTTTTTCGTGGTGCTGAGGAATAAACCTAAGGCCTGTGAGGCGAGCATTGTACCACTGAATTTAACCCTAGCCCATTTTAAAATTTTGATTTTGGAGCAGGGTCTCACTAAATTGCCCAGGCTGGACTTGAATTTGTAGTCTTCTTGCCTCAGCCTCCTGTCTGTCTGGGATTACAGGCCTGCACCACCATACCCAGTGCTTTTTACTTTGAACTCCAAATTATCATATTTAAACTTGTAGTGTTCTTCATGCATTCCTTCTCTTCTATATTTGCGTTATTTTCCTCTGTGCCATTTATCATCATTTCAAAATGCACATATATACATTTATATTTTAGTAGTCTCCTTCACTGGCATGTGTGCTCCATGAGGGCAGGGACTTTTGATTGTTTATTTAGTACTATACACCTAATGCACAGAAGAATGTACACAGGGATTGCATATTTATTTATTGAATCAGTGAGTGAGTTATGTGACTTGAAAGTAGAGTAGGGTTATACTAAATTCTCTTTCTATATGTGCTGCCGAAACAAGCATCCTAGATTCTTTTTGCAATACAGGTTTCCTTGCCAAGTGGATAGTAATTATTGGAGTTTGCTGAACAGTGTCTAGAAAGGGAAAAAGTCAAAATGTTTCTGAGAGTCTGTTTTTAATTTTTTGTATGGCAGGATGAGTCATCCGCCTTTGTCTAGATACATTCCTATGAATATGTCACTGTCAGGGTCTGTCAGACCTTCTCCGATCAGGATTGATCTGATCTTTTTAAGGTGACTTTGGAGATAGTTGGGACCTGTTGTATGTGTTTTAATGTTTTCTAGTCCGTTTGTGCTTCTCTATTTTGTGTCTCCCCACCTCACACCCCTGCTCACACTTCTCAGATCAGGGTCTGCTGTCTTGAGTCGGCTTCTCTGCATGCTCAGGGACAGCCCTGGCCTGCCTGTCCTCTCCCAGTCACCTTAGCTGCTGTGGTCCTTCTGTGTTCAGCTATATGCCCCTTTCCTCCCTCCGCTGCCCAAATGCCTCCCTCTCTCCTTTCCACATCCGCAGACTTCCCGAGTTAGCTAATTGTAGTCCTGCTCAGACTATCATTTGTAGCTTCCTTTAAATTGTTGGGTCTTTGGGTACTGAAAATATTTTATTTCTTACACTGCTACCTGTAAGTTCAGTGTTTAATAAAAGTGATATTTTTAATATTTAATATTTTTGTTGTTATATATTAAAAATATTTAATATTTTTGTTGTTATATATTAAAAATTACTTTATAAATGTTAAAAATTTTTTAAAATATGCCTTGGGTTACCATTCAAAATAGAATTAATTAAGAAATTTTCATGTGCACTGAATTTCTTTTCTCATTGATTTAATATTTCTTCAAATAAGGCTGTACAATAAACTAGTTAAAGCTTACCGGATATTTGCTGTCACTCCGACGTCTTCTCATGTCCAGCACATTATAGGGTTGATGCTTCATCAGTCAGTAAGCAAATGCAATTTGGTTACTGAGGGAATTCATTGCGCATTGTCTGCAATTGAAATAAGAGTTTCTAACCGTCTGCATGTGTGCATCAGTTTCCTGAATCAGTTCCATCTGTATTAGTTGGTCTGCGATGAGAGCCTCCTCATGAGTGTTCGTCCCACTATCGTTCAGTAGCATCTTAGCTTGGATTTTCTTTTTCCTTTTCTTTTAAAAAATGTTAGTGGGGCTTGTTGCTTTCACTTACTTTTAAATATTTAAAAAATGATTATACCTATAATTAGCTTTTCAAAAGAAAATTATCTGCAACCAAATCCTAATACTTTCCAATATTGCTTTCAAATTTAGTATGGAGATATAAATGTCATATAATTTTTCTATTTATGAAGAGGGTCCTGCTTGTAGAAAGTTGTACTGTACATACTAGTGAAGTTTCAAAGTCACCATTTATGTTTGCAGAGTTGTTACAATTATTATTTTTGTAACTTAAAATATAAAAGTGTATTTGCTGCTTTAGCTAAGGAAGAAGTTCAAAATTTCAGGTTATGCTACATTTTAAATTAGCTTGGAGGACTAGTTATTTGATCACAGTGTGTATAATAGAACTGCTAGTAATATTTTAATATTAATACAAAAGATATAGAAAACAGTAAGAGGGGTATTTTTTAATCCTAAAATAAAACCTTTCCCTTTATGTACTTTCTTAATTTTTTGTTTAGTGATTCATCTCTATTTATGTTTGCTGTACTGACTACATACATTTTAGTGCAGGTGGCTCTTTGGTCCAGTATATAATGCTCTTCTTGTTGTTTTTTTTTTTTCTTTTTGAGGTGAACTTTCTGAGGTTAGCAGCCATTTGTCCAATAGAACTATTATTTTCAGATTGCTACTCATGAGGCAGAGGCTCCTCTGTAAAGAAAATAAGCATGAATCAGCACGTGGTTGTTTACTAGGATGGTAAAGATAGCTATATGGACATGGCTTTGAGAAATAGGCAAGGGTAAGGTTAATGATAATTGTTATGTTTATGGAGTGCTTCGTGTGTGCTAGACATAATTCTATGAAATGCTTATTGTTTGCTATATTTAATCTTCACAACAGCCTATTTTTCCCCCAGTGAGGAAGCGAAGGCTCAGAGGTTAAGTGACTTCACAGAATCACACACGTAGGACATAATTGAGACAGATACATTTGAGAGATCAGAAGGGCAAAGAATATTTTCTAGGGTTGTCAGCAAAGAGGGCTGTTGTGGGAGCAGAATAGTCTTTGCATTATGATGACGTTTGAAATGAGCCGTGAAGATTGGTAGAATTTTGCTAATTACATATAGAGGTGTATTCAGTTTCAGTTGCTGTTGTAATATAAAATTGGTGGCTTAACACAACATTAATTTATTTGGTTCTAGAGGCCAGAAGTTTCCCACAGGTCTTAACTATGGTAAAATCAGGTTGGCAGGACTATGTTCTGTAGTCCTGCAGGGGAGAGCCAGTTCCCTTGCTTTTCTGCCATCTGGAAGGCACACACACTCTTTATGGTCAAGAATCTCTCCTTCCATCTTCAAAGACAGTGCACTTCTTTGTGTCTGTCTTCCCTCATCACCTCCATCCCTGCTTTCCAGTTCTCTTCTACTTGTAAGTGATAATTTTGGGCCAACTGGGATGATCCAAAGTAGTCTCTTTATTTAAATGTCAGTTAACAAAATTAATTTCCTATGCAACGTTAATTCCTGGTAGCTATGCAAGGTTCTAGAGGGTAGGATGTGAATGTCTTTGGAAGAAAATTTCCTGCTTACTATAGGAGCTATGAAGAGAAATTATAGAAGAAAAGTGAGTACAAGAAAGACACAACAGTGGACCAGGTTGTCTATAAGGAATATGATTTTGTTCACTTAGTTGGTGTTTCCAGCACATGAGGTATGATAAAAAATGCAGTGTAATTTTAAATTTAAAAGAAATTGAGATAATAGATACATTGTCATAAGTCCCCTTGAGAATACCCCTTGCTTTGAACACACTTATCCCATTGTTCTTGCCACTTTCGTAGCAGTTCTGGAGGTCCTATTTTGAGAATGTCTCTATTTGTGTGGTTATTGCTGCTGTGATGTCCTGAACTGATTCAAAATGTTTACCTCTTGTGGTCATTTGGACTGTGGGGAAGAGCCAGAAGTCACACAGGGCCAGATCTGGTGAATAAGTTGGATGAGAACTC